AAATAGGTACATTCGGGTTAAGAGTCTAGGGATTTACCAGTTTCTGACTTTGGTAATGCTTTCCGATGCGACACGATACATACATACATAAATACATACATACATACATACATACATACATACATACAAAGGTACATGCGTACATACGTACATACGTACATTCATACATACATACATACATTGTATAGAGTCACACTCACTTATTTCAGACACACCAAGGCCCGCACGCACACAAAGACACACACTGAAGCTTGGACTTTGTTCACCAGTCTCCCAGACTGAAAGCCGAAGCTTGTCTGTGTTCAGTTGCGGATACCTGAGCTAAGCATTCAGGGTACAGGGCCGTAAAGACTTCAGACAGAAGTTAGCATAAAGCACGCTTCGGCGTTTCCGGTGTCTTTGAAGTTGAGAGTTTACATCCACGAGCACCTTCGGAACGGACATGCTGATGGCCTTCAGGCTTGGCAGACACGGACCTTGCCCAAGCCTCGGCAACCTGTGAGATCCTTCAGCAGGGGTTTTGAGCGCTTCGGCAACGCAACACATCAGCCGCGTCCCCAAAGACCACGAGAACTCTCATCCTTCATCGTAACTGCATGGGAACGGTTAGGCCAATGTTGGGCCGTAGGCTTGTGTCCTAGCATCGCAAGCTTAAAACAAGTGCCGCATGCTTTCAAAGGACTGGAAGCCATGTCCTAGCTGGAGGATGTAGTCTGCAAGACTTCGGGATTATGGACCGGGCCTATGCGAGAACAGAAGCTAATCGTGATTGGAATCTCGGGACATGGTGCCAACGAGCGACATCATACAGATTACCCGAATGCTTGGCTTGTAGAAAAGTGGATCTCTTTCAAAGTGAGCATGTTAAGCCTTCTGCTTGTAGTCTTTTGAGATGTATCTTGTTCTTACTTTCACAGTCTTTTTCACAGCAGGTACGTTGCCGCGAGCCCTATTGTAGAACCTGTCGGATGTAGAGTGCGTAGATGGATAGATACTGCGAGTCCTGCTCGTCTCTATACCATCTGACCTGCCGAGGGATCGCTCGGGCAATCCTCCGCCGAGGCGTGGCAGCGCGTCTGTCGGAACTCCGGCTAGCATCATCATCAAAAGTGCGCTGTTGCTACAGCTCTTCATATGCTTACTTTGTTAATCGGAATGCAGGGTGCAGTGAACATATCGAGGATAGAGTATAGAAAACCATGGTCCTCACCAGAATGAGCACGGACCTCAAACTGAGAGGCCTAGATCTGGAAGCTGTGACAGTGCTGCCTGGGGAGTGCTCAAGGCGACTGAGAGCTTTGTATCGCCAAGATGCCCACGAGAAGTTGAGGTGGTGCAGCATGTAGTTCTCCGGGTGCAGCTGCTGTGCAACTACTGTACTGGTTTGTCTTTCCTCGGTCCTAGGACACAGATGCAAAGCTAGAGCAGCTAGAGCATGTGCATGTCAGCTGCAGCATTCTCTGGACTGCACGCCCATGGCAGCGTGCAGCATGCCGAGCCGATGACGACTTGAGCGCAGCCACGCCGACGCGCCGAACATGAGCTTAGCGGACCGGGTGGAAGTGGTCGAGTTGCACTTTGAAGAGACATATCCCCTTCGTGAGCGTGTTCTCTGGCCCGGTCGACCAGACCTGGCAGCGCTCTCTTGTGATGCACAAGGAAAGCACTTCGGCCTACGGCTGCCAAGTGAGACACGCGACGAGCTTGTGTCCGTGGTGTCTGTTTTTGCCAGCGATGATGGCCGGGAGGCGCAGTTCAGAAAGTTTGCGACTGCGTCCGAGTACCAGGGCCAGGGTCTTGGCTCCAAGCTGCTGCTGCATATCATCGAGGAAGTGAAGAATCGTGGCGTGCAGCGGCTTTGGTGCGACGCGCGCACAGCACAAGCTCATTTCTACGAGAAACGGGGAATGCAGGCTGTGGAAGGTGGCGCCACCTTCCTCAAGAGTGGTGTAGAATACGTTCGGATGGAAATGCTTCTCTGATCCTGTGCAAAAGTCGCTGTTGCGTTTCAGCTGCTGCTCTTGCTGTTGCTCTCGCTCTTGTTCTGGTTCTTGTAGTTGTTCTAGTTCTCCTTAATACTACTGGTCGTCATCGTCGTCGTCGTGGTCGTGGTTGTGGCAGTGGTCGGTTGTTGTTGTTGTTGTTGTTGTGGTTGTTGTTGTTGTTGTTGTTGAGGTTGTGGTTTGGGGTTGCGGTTGGGGTTGGGGTTGTGGCTGTCGTTGTTGTGGTTGCTGTGATTGCGGTTGTTGTTGTTGTTGTTGTGGTGGTGGTGGTGGTGCTGCTGCTGCTCATGATGTGGGTCCCTGCAGCAAAGCCTATGACCTATGAGCCTCCAGCACATTCCCGGCCTTGCCAGGTGTTGGGACCGCCCTTTTCTTGGATGGCTGGGCCGGGCTCCTCGAAGCTGTAGGGCCTGATGCAAGCAAGCTCCAGCAAACTGCAGTTCTAAAACTAACTATGCTTGACCTAGCTGCTTATGCAACAAAGCTATCACGGATGACATGCGCGGTGCACGAGCTATCAATATACGAGCCTCAGTGCTCAGTTCCATGCTGGGCATTCTTCATTACTGTGTGTCTGTACTATCATATCATGAGTGCCAAGCCGCTTACGCCAGAGGCGTTGCGCTGTGCAGTTACTGGTGACCGGTGGTTTCAGTGCTTGGTAACGGATGATGGTGCCACAGACAGAACAAGATGAACACACCTATTCATTTATATATTATACTTTAAATTATACTGTATATTATACTATATATTATACTATATGTTCTACTATATATTATACTATATATTATGCTATATTTTATATTATGATATGTAATATACGATGTGCCCAAGTCCAGAGCCGGAAGAGTCGAATCATGTGGAGAAAATATGCCCAGTGCGCCTAGCGATATTATTGAAACTTTTGACGTTTACCTGTTGGGGCAGTTGATGGGTCAACAAGCTTAAGTCGAATGTTCTATCGCGTCGCAATAACAAAGTAGTATAATATAACGTAGTGGAGTCTAACATGCGATGCTCTACCATACTTCGCTATACTGTACTATAATAAGCTATACTATGGTGTACTATACTATACTATAATACGACATAGCCCAGTATTACATAACATACTTTAATATGTATATATTTTTCATATCATAATACAATATAAGATACTCTAATATATTATAACATAACATATCATAATACAGTATGACATAATATATTACAATTTGATATAATATAATATCATATCATATAATATAGTATAATATAGTATAATATAGTATAATATAGTATAATATATTA